ATATCTTTTTTTGTCCTCTCAATTAAGGGGAAATATGCCATTGGGCTTTATGATAGCTTCAGTGATTGTTGTGCTCATGCATCCAAAGAAATGTGAATTTCTCATCCCTGTCCAGTGATGGATATTTATATACAGGTAACTGCTATTTCATTGTGGATGAAGATTGGAATTCATATGTGAAAAGGAAAGCGAATGAAGAAGGTAGAAAGTGAGAGGGAGAGGGAGAGAGATGGTGTAGTGGAAGAATTCAGAATTTGTGTGACCAAACATATTGAACTATGGTTCTTCACCTTTCATATGAGAATTTGTTGGTAGAGTAGTGGCAAAGAAAGAGAAATCTGCTGTACTAGCTAAGACATATATTCCATTAAGAATAACATTTTGGTCCTTGTAAATTCATACATTTTTATATTCTTGTATATTTTCATTTGGTTTTTCCTTTCTAGTTTTTCTGTAACTCTCATTACATATCCTCACATTTTATCTTATTTTATTTCAATAGTTTTTGGGTAATAGGTGGTTTTTGGTTACATGAATAAATTCTTTAATGGTGATTTCTGAGATTTTGGTGCACCTGTCACCTGAACAGTGTACACTGTACTCACTGTGTAGTCTTTTATCCCTCACCCTGCTCCCACCCTTCCCCTCAAGTTCCCAAAGTCCATCATATCATTCTAACGCCTTTTCATCCTCATAGTTTAGCTCCCACTTATAAATGAGAACACACAATATTTGGTTTTTCATTCCTGAGTTACTTCACTTAGAATAATGGCCTCCAATGCCATCAAGGTTAGTGCAAAGGCCATTATATCATTTTATTTTATGACTGAGTAGTACTCGATGGTGCATATATACCACATTTTCTTTATCTACTCATTGGTTGATGGGTATTTAGGTTGATTCCATGTTTTTTCAATTGAGAATTGTGCTGCTATAAACCTGTGCAAGTATGTGTCTTTTTCCCCTAATGATTTCTTTCCCTTGGGGCAGATACCCAGTAGTGGGATTGCTGGATTGAATGGTATTTCCACTTTTAGTTCTTTAAGAAATCTCCATACTGTTTTCCATAGTGGTTGTACTAACTTACATTCCCCCCAGCAGTGTAAAAGTGTACCCTTTTCAGAACATCCATACTGACATCTGATTTTTTTTTATTTTAAAATTATGGTAATTCTTGCGGGAGTAAGGTGGTATCTTATTGCGGTTTTAATTTGCATTTCCCTGATCATTAGTGATGTTGAGTATTTTTTTCATATGTTTATTGGCTGTTTTTATATCTTCTTCTGATAACTGTCTATTCATGTCCATCGCCCACTTTTTGATGGGATTATTTGTTTTCTTTCTTGATTTGTTTACATTCTTTGTAGATTCTGGGTGTTAGTCCTTTGTCAGATGCATAATCCATGGATATTTTCTCCCACTTTGTGGGTTGTCTATTTACTCTGCTGATCATTTCTTCTGTTGTGCAGAAGCTTTTTAGCTTAAGTATATCCCTTCTATTTATTATTGTTTTTGTTGCATTTGATTTTAGCTTCTTAGTCATGAATTCCTTGCTTAAGCCAATGTCTGATTTTATTGTTTAGAGTTTTTCTTATTTTATCTTATAGAGTTTTTATGGTTTCAGGTCTTCTATTTAAGACTTTGATCCATCTTGAGTTGATTTTTGTATAAGGTGAGAGATGAGGATCCAATTTTATTCTTCTACATGTGGTTTTCCAGGTATTCTAGCACCATTTCTTCAATAGGGTGTCCTTTCCCTGCTTTATGTTTTTGTATGCTTTGTCGAAGATCAGTTGGTAGTATTTGGCTTTATTTCCGGGTTCTCTATTCTGTGCCATCAGTCTACATGCCTATTTTTATACAGGTACCATGCTGTTTTGGCAACTATAGATATAGTCTTGTTGTATAATTTGAAGTCAGGTAACATGATGGCCCCAAATTTGCTCTTTTTGCTTGGTATTGCTTTTTTTCTATGCAGGCTCATTTTTAGTTCCATATGAATTTTAGGATTTTTTTTTTCTAGTTCTGTGAAGAGTGATGATGGTACTTTGATGGGAATTACAGTGAGTCTGTAGATTCCTTTTGGCAGCATGGTCATTTTCACAATATTGATTCTACCCATTCATGAGCCTGGGATGTGTTACCATTTGTCTGTGTCATTTGTGATTTCTTTCAGCAGTGTTTTGTAGTCTTCTTTGCAGAGATCTTTCACCTCCTTTGCTAAACATATTTCTAAGTATTTTATTTTTTGTAGCTGATGTAAAAGTGACTGAATTTTTTATTTGGTTCTCAGCTTGGTCATTGTTGGTATATAACAGTGCTACTGATTTGTGTACAATGATTTTGTATTCTGAGACTATAGTGTATTCATTTATCAAATCTAGAAGCTTTTTGGGTGAGTCTTTAGGATTTTCTAGGTCTATGATCATATAATTGGTGAGCAGTGACAGTTTGACTTCCTCTTTCTGTTTTGGATGCCCTTTATTTCTTTCTCTCATGTGATTGCTCTGGCTAGGACTTTCAGTACTACGTTGAATAGAAGTGGTGAAAGTGGGCATCCTTGTCTTGTTCCAGTCCTCAAGGGGAATGCTTTCAACTTTTCCCCATTCAGTATGATGTTGGCTGTGGGCTCGTCATAGATGGCTTTTATTACTTTATATCCCTTACATGTCAGTTTTGTCAAGGGTTTTCCATCATAAAGGGATGCTGGATTTTGTCAAATGCTTTTTCTGCATCTATTGAGGTGATCGTATGATTTTTGTTTTTAATTTTGTTTAAGTGATGTATGACATTTATCCTCAAATTTTCGATGAGCTGATTTTGGCTGTGCCTCTGAGTGGCTAGCAACATGTTACTTATGGAAAATCATTTTGATAACCTTTTGATGGCAGTGGAGGGTTGCCTGGAGTGGCCACTGCCATCATGCCAGCTGCAGTGGGGAGGCATGATTGGTGGCAGCAAGAGCGGCTGCAGGAGCAGCAATTACGGTGGTGGGTTCCCTGTGCCTGTATCCCAGTGCTGGCCGACTGTGCCACCCTCATCCTTGTGCAACCAGGCGGGACCTGCTCCCAGGCCCGGAGGCTCTACCACTCTGGATCCTCGCCCCGTGTCACTGCTCTCGCCCACCACCGCTGTGGGGAGGGCATGGGGAGGAGGCAGACAGTTCCTGGGGCCCGCCCCTAGGAGCCTCCCATGAAGCCCTCTGCCCTGGGAACCACTGCCATGGGACTGGGCAGAGTTACCCACCAGCGGGGAGCAACGTGGTTGGCTACGAGGAGCAGGCAGAGAGGAGCCCTGAGGTGGAGCTGGGTCTGCAGTGATGTAGCACTCCACAGAGCTGGCAGGAGCCAGGAGCAGGCAACAGCCCTACCCTCCTGGGCATAGCTGCAGCGGCCCAAACTGCAGCTGTGGACCCAGGCGTCTCTGCACTCCTGGGGGCCTGGGAAGGTCCCCCAGCCCTTGCAGGCTCAGAAGTGCCTGCTCCTTCTGCCTGCATTTTCCCCGATGTAAGTGCCTGCTCTGATCTCAGAGCAATGTGGCTCTGAGCCCAGGCATTGTCACAACCTGGCCAAGGGTGCACATGCTCAGGTCACCCTGACATACCAGCCCCCTGTTGCCTCATCTTCCTCTGGACTTTGGGCTCTGACAAACATGGGAGGGAGGCTAAGGGAGAACTGAGGACAGGCTGGTGCTGGCCTTTGGGTGCCTCTTGGCATAAATAGCCTGGGTCCCATGAATG